CCCTCTCCTTCTTCTTCGCTTCCCCGTTTCTCATCTGCCAAGGACAGAGAAGCCGAGTGTCCTGGTTTAGGCAGAAAGATAAACAAACGACAGATGGTGTTCTGAGATTGTTTTGATGTTGTTGGCAGGAAAAGACCATTTTTAGAATCCTGGCTTGCTGTGAGATGAGAAGGTGGCATCTAGCTCCTTTCGGGAGAATGCAAGAGGCCTTCTTTAATAGTCATCCCCTAGCTAAAGCCATTCTTTCTCCAACTGAAATTCTTGCAGCTTTATGAGAAGTGAGTATAAGGGGGCTGCCCCAAAGAAGAAAAGGGGGTTTGTGTGTCAGCATTACTCTCCAAAGCCCCCGAGGGCAGGACAAGAAGCAACGGGTGGAAACTCATCAAGAAGAGAAGCAACTGAGAACGAAGGAGAAATTTCCTCATGGTTGAGGAGAATCAACCAGAGGGATGGGTTGCCTTCAGGGTTGTGGGTGCTTTCAAGAAGAGACTGAGCAGCTATTTGTCTGAAATGGTATAGAATCTCCTGCTCAAGCAGGGGGTTGGACTAGCTGACCTCCAAGGTCCCTTTCAACTTTGTTATTTAGCAATAGCAATGGCAATAGCAGTTAGACTTATATACCACTTCATAGGGCTTTCAGCCCTCTCTAAGCGGTTTACAGAGTCAGCATATCGCCCCNGAGGAGGAGGAGGAGGGGGGAGATGTCTATGGAGATTCTCAATCGCCCAACTCATGGTGGCCCCAAAGCGGATTTTTCCAAAATTCAACTGCATCTTGGAAAACATTTCACTTCTCATCCAAGACTTCAGTTCTTCCCTTCTTCTTCAGAACTGAAAAGGTTTCTTGAATGTGAAGTGAAAATTTTTCAAAGCAAAATCCAAGAAAGCCCAGTTGCCTTTAGGAAAAAAAGTATCTTTGTGACATCTGTGCTTGGCTGTTTTCTTGCAGACATTTCACAACCCAACTAGGGAATATCATCAGTGCTAGAAGGGAGTGAGGTTTGCTCTCTTCCGATATACAAGTGGCTTACTCTGTTACTGGAAGTGGTCGGTGAAGAAGACCACTTGGTAATTCCTTGGAACAATCTAGCCAATGTTGGATGGACTTCCCTACTTCTATCTTAGCACTGTAGCATGAAACTAAAAGAAACTGCAACTATATCTCCATAAACATTTAACTATACCTAAACATACATTTCACCCGATTCCTCCCGTCTGTAGAAATGGATGATCAACCTCTAGCTTCAATCCGGTTTTTTCACCATTTCCCTCTTTGGAGTGGAAGAGATCAGGGATCTCCAAGAGATAGTAGGAAGCATATTTCCCAGAATTCCCTGGGCATTCCTAGCACAGATGCCCCAGGAAGAACCTCAAACTATTAACTATTAAAGATGGCCGGCCATCTTGATTCAGGAGGTCTCTTTTAAAGGGCTTGTGGGAATGCATTCTTCTTACTCCATGGGCTTTCAAGATGGCCTCAGCACCCTTTTAAACAAATAAATATACAATTCCTCTCTTTTAGCCCCAAATCTCACCAGGACACCCCAAAGTGATTTAGGGGCAGTGTTCCAAAGAGAAATCTTTGATTAACCGCTATTTTCAGTCAGATTTGTTTACTCTTTATGCTTGGTTGACTAATAAACACCAACGTGAAGTAGGACAAACGGAAACGATTCAGGTCCCCCCCCCACCCCTTAAAAGTCTTTCAAATTTCCCTTCATGCTGTGAAGATTATTTTCAGGCTGCTAAATTAAAAAAGAACCCAGCTAGGCAATATGTTCTCAGATCCCAGGATTCCCTACGGAAGCCAATCATCAGCCCAAAGGCTGTATCTAATTTGCATATTTTATTAACATTATTCCATTGTGCTTGACAATTAATCTGCTGGATATTGTGACAAGTGCATTTTCTTTCAGCCATTTCATTTCATTTTTTTTTCGGATTGAATACTTAGCATCTGTCGCTTGCTAATCTTACCCCTCCGAAATTTTCTGAACGCAACAGCCTGCTTCAGAAAGCTGATGTGGAATTTGATAGGGTTAATGCCAAATTGTGATGATGATGGGGATGTGGTGGCTCAGTGGCTAAGATGCTGAGCTTGTTGCTCAGAAGGACGGCATTTCAGTGATTTGAATCCCTAGTGCCATGGAGTAGAGTGAGCCCCCGTGACTTGTCCCAGCTTCTGCCAACCTAGCAGTTCGAAAGCAGGTAAAAAATGCAAGTAGAAAAATAGGGACCACCTTTGGTGGGAAGGGAACAGCGTTGCGTGCGCCTTCAGCGTTGAGTCATGCTGGCCACATGACCACGGAGAGGTCTTCGGACAAGAGCTGGCTCTTGGGC